TGATTACAAATTCAAACACCATGTTAGCATTTAAGTTACATTTTCCCTTTTGCAGAGCTGTGATAAAGACATTCACCTTAAGAATCTCACATCTCTGACGGCCTCAACTGCCGCACTACAATTTTAAATAATAAAATACGATGCAGGGAAGACCTACTCGGTTTGAAACTTAAAAAAGGGTTTGGCATTTTATACAGAGTTTTAGGTGGTAGAAACAGTATTATGAGTCTAAACAAGTCAATCTACAGTTTAGCAAGTTTAAAAAGAAAGGAAAAGTTGGGGTACTAGCAAAGCAGTGAGACTGTCTGGTATTAATACTAATCCACTTACGTTTGGTGGAATCAGGCTAATACTCCCTCAGATCCTTTCACGCCAAGCAGCTGTGACAAATGTTTGACTTTCTTCATGCTGCTTTGGTGTGAGACTTCACAGTTTGTCAATGAGATGCTTCACATCCATCGCCTTGGCAGACAACAGCCAGAGGAAGAGGAGATGGCGTGTTACAGAGAAGACGACAGAAAGAGAGGGAGTAGAAGTGGAAGAAAACAACCAGTAATCCACTCAAATACTTCCTCGACCCTCTTTCCTCAGCTCAGCCTGGCAAACAATACGTCCTCCGGCCTCGTCCAGAAAGACGGCTTTGTAATCAGAGTTTTCTCTCCATCTGACAGCTGGTTTTTCACACTAGCAGCCAATTAGGATGGAAGGCGTAGAGGAGGAGGATGAGAGAGAGAGAGAGAGAGAGAGATGGCCTGGCATTCTCAGTGACAGGAGAGAGGAAGAGGCCATGCTTCAGTGAAGATTTCCTGTTGCACTGACAGGCAACAGCACTTCGAAACAACAGCCAGAGGAGCTAGATAGCCTAAACTGATGCTGAAATTATAGAAATTAAAAGAATTCTCAATAATGGAGAAAAACTCACCATGCTGCCAGTTTGAATCAAAAATCACCCAATGGAGTTCACCATGAATAAACCAAAGTTCAGCAGAGGCTTATCTCAAATATTCTGCTTTTTTAACCACTGTTAATTAAACCCTGACCAGTCATAATTTAGCAAGTGGAATCAGGAATGGCAGGCCTGTCATGCTTTCTCCACTCACTGAAGTGTATCTGTAGTTAGAGCAACAGGCTACCTGGTATTCAAAGACTTTGGCAGGTGTTGTTCTTTTATCTGCTTTCCAAAATTAAAGACACAAAGAGCTAAAGGGTAAGAGTTCAGTTTATGTTCTCAAACCTAAGATGATGATGTTAGTTTGCTTACTAGCAAGGCCAAGGAGCATGTCATTATTTAACAGCACATCATTTTATGGTTATGTTACATTCAGGTTATGTTAGAAAAGGCACCGATCAGGTCCGGAACACCCACTGTGTAGGAAAGCCAGTCCTGGATGTTACTAAATCTGAGTTTATGCTAAGGTTAGTAACTCCTAACATCCATCCATCCATAATACAGTATATACTGCTTATCCTGAAGAGGGTCGCAGGGAGACTGGAGCCAATCCCAGCTGACATTGGGTGAGAGGCAGGGTACACCATGCACAGGGCTGACACACAGAGACAGACAACCACACACAGACTCCTAGGGGCAATTCAGAGTTGCCAATCAACCTAAGCTGCATGTCTTTGAACTGTGTGAGGAAGCCAGAGTACCCAGAGAGAACCCATGCAGGCACAGGGAGAGCATGCAAACTCTATACAGAAAGGCCCCAGTCAGCCAGGGCTGGAACTAAGAACCTGCAGGATCCCATCAAGTACAGTATGTAGATTCCACATTTAAGACCTTTTGTTATAGTTATATTTTAAATCAGCTCAGCCAGAAACAGAGTTTTCAACCAATTTACAGGATTGGGGTTATTTAGGTAACTAGCTAAAGCTGATAAAATGTCCATTGTTTATGGGTAGGGGTTGGGCAAGTCTCCATGAAATGAACATAAGACAAAGCAATGCCCTCGGAAGTGGTGAAAGTGTGTGTGTGTGTGTGTGTGTGTGTGTGTGTGGTGGGGGGGGGGGGCTCCTACACTTTTTTCTCATGCGGCCTTTCTTTCTACTTCACAGTCATCCGAGCAGCTTAAGCTAATGTGCAGAACTTGTGATTGCTAAAGCAGAAAACATGATTAAGTCTCTCATCTTTATGAAACAAACCCTGTGACTATGGGCAGACAACCCCAGACTCTGGGTCAGGAGACGACAGCTCATGGTTGGTTATCTGTCACTGAGAGGGAATCTACCACATTAACACCTGATATTTTTGATTTGGGTCGTCCCTGAACTGACGGAAGCACTGTTTATTTAAACAGCTCAATATCACACACAGTTTTAACATCGTTTACTGGCCCACTATATTATAAGATCAAGATAATATTATTTTTTATTCACTTGTAAAATGACATTCAACTATTAATTTACACACTTAGTACTCCCTGCATTCTCTACACGCCTTTGCAATTATACCACTTACTGATTTTCTGAATCTGGTGTTACAGAGTTGAAAAGGTAAGCTATGTTTCTTTGCTGCTATGTGAACCTATCTTTCATTTTTACAAAGCAAAATTGAGAGTGGGGTATTCCTTTCTCCCAGCTGTAAAAATAACAGTATAAGTGTGATAAACTTCCCAAGAGATGTAACAGCAGATTACATTAAAAAGCTGCAAAGGTCAGAGTTGTTTTGTTTTCATTTTGGATTTTGTCAGGAATTTAAATGAGCTTCAGCAGTGGCACGTGATCATGAGCCACTACAAAACCCCCACACTGCTACAGCTACCCTGGATGGGGCACTTTAGCACATCTACCCAACTCACACACACACAAGCACACGCAAGTACATAAAAAATGAAATAATACTAGGCAAAGGGCTTAAAGGATAATCCAAACAAGTGGAGTGTACTACATCCTCACAGGAATTAAATTCCCTCTTTGACCAAAAAAGGACATGGCAGTAAGAATGGGTGGATGACACACGGGGACATGGCCACAAAGCAGCTCTCTTTACTTCTCCTATCTCACAAAAGGCTATCTCTATTCATCTTTCTTATCCTTTATTTCTTCAACACCTGTACTGTAGTTAGCTTAATTGGTGTGTTAGTGTATTCTGATTTGATAGCAACAGGCAGGTGGTATTTTTTGAAGCAATTAATTATCTGCACCACAAAAGCAACATCTCTGGTTGCATGCTTTGATCAATCTGTAAGATTGTGACACTTAACGTCCTCGTCAGTTCATGAAAGAGATAACCAATATTCTGACAGATGACAAACAAGCCGTGATGTATCAGTATACTGTAACTCCACAACAACACACACACTCTCAAACTACTCTCACACCCAGGATTAATGAAGTCTTTATGGCCCTGGTTAAAGGCTATTTGGTGTGTGCATTTTACTCTGGCAAACCATCAGGCCTGAGGGCCAATGAGTGCCCTGTGTACTCACAACATTTTCCAATTAAGGATTTGTGAGGCATTAATGTGGCATGGCTCAGGTTACATCCAGACTGAAATCTCTGATAGAATTACAGAGTGCAGAGAGAACTAAAACAGCACCACAATGATGAGTCAAATCAAAGTTGTATGTTTTTCTAATAATCTGTTGCAATCTGTAGATAGTACAAAAAAGGTGGAGAGAGTCATTACTGAGGTGACTAATTTCATAACGTTGGACTCACTTAAGGCAGTTTATAAAGAGAATGGACACACACAAAGCAGGAGAGACCAGGATATCTGGACTTTCTGTCTCCAGTAAAAGTCAAGAGCCCAAGTGCTTTATTTCCCACAATGCAATTTGATATTGTCTCTTAGTTATACCCTCCCTGTCTGGCACGTTTTTCAAACTCCACGGACACAGTTTGTTGTAACAGAGGCTTTCTATTAAAAAGCTGTAGTCTGCAAATGCAAGCTGAGGTAACCCTGGTGACATCGCAATTACATTACCAGGGTTAATTGATAAAAATGCTGCAGAACCACAGGTGACATGAGTGTTTTCACAGACCAAGTCATGCTTTGAATTATCTATTTACAATAAAACTACCAGTCCAAATAATCAAAGTGCATAAATCACTCATCATTCAGTAACTAAAGCACACATTCGCACACAATTATTGACATAATTTCATGAGAAGTGACTGAAATCCTTCCTGGATTGTTGGGTTTACTCTGCTCTGTGTATACTGATTCTTTTGTAATTTCAGCCTCATATTGCAAAGTCAGATGTTCCACCTTGAGGAATTCATCCTTTAGCTTCTGCCAGCTCTGTGCCACTCAGCACTCTTTTTCCAGAAATCATTATCAGCCACTGTGGGGTATTTAAACAGCAGCCAAGTTGATACTCTGATATTCCGCCTTCTCTCTGACACCCTTACCTCCCACTGAACTCATTCTAAAGGGGCAGGAGCAAAGATCTGGGACTAATTCATTGTATACTATAAGAGATGCATGTATGCTTGTGTTTGTGTGCCAACAGGTGTAACTGAATCACAAGCTGAAATCTGAGCATACTTCATTTGAGCTGACTGTTCAAAGTAGAGACAGAACATGTAAAATAAATATTTCTGAACCCTTTATTTTCTCTCTCATCCACACAGCCAACCCACATTCCTCTAGAGACCACCACAAAAATCAATAACGCTATAAATTTTGCAACAGTCAGAATGAAATAAGGTATCTCTATTTTCTCAATCAAATAAGTGCATTTCAGTCGCTTATTGCACAGCAGATTTTCCTTTTGTAAATGTTTGAGTTTTTACAGAGAAAAGATTGTCTGTACCCTAAGGTATCCTTCTTTGGAAACACTAGATTATCCAAACTTGTATTGATCAAGTTTGTGAGAGTGTGTAATGTGTGTGGCTTGAGGCTATCTGAAATTATCTCATCTTTGCATGTAAAATATGTTGCACAGCATCATCCACCACGTTCAAGAGGTTGTTAATTAGAGGTTAATTAGAAGGTCAGGACACAGAACCAGCACATGCACTCACACAGAAACACCGCCCTGCACACACGCACCTACCATTCATGCCGTTGTAGATGCTACGATGATGCGGTGACAGCTCATCTCCAGCCGGCCTCCTCTGCCCCTCTCTCACAGGGCTGCCAAACTTCACATGGTCAGGGCTCATACTGTACTGGTGCCTATGTGTTTCGGGGCTGCCCCCTTGGACCACGCATCCTTTTTCCTGGTGCTCACTGCTGCCTATATTTGCATGCCGTGTTTCGGGGCTCCCACAGCCTGTACTGCTAATGCTGCTCCTGTGGTGCCTCTGAAAGAGCTCCCCACTACCTCCCTGGCTCAGGAAATGCTGCCTCTGGCCCAGGAGGAGGTCA